AGCCCTCTCCTGCTCCTGTCCCCAGCCTGGCAGAAGCTGGGGGTGGCCAGAGCCACACTTGAGCTGCAGGTGACCAATGGATCCTGTAACAAATTTGATAGGGGCAAGGAGATCAGGGGGTCCTGGAGACAGCAACTCATGGCACCAAGTGTGTCTGGGAAGTGAGCACTGAGATACCTGGGGGCTCTCTGCCCACACCCCAGGGTATCAACAAACCATAGTTGAGGAGCTAAATCAACATTCCTATGGTGTGGGGCCGGCCCGATGGCGCACTGCTACAGTGTGCCGCTTGGGAGCGCAGCGGCGCTCCTGCTGAGGGTTCGGATCCCATGTACAGACCGGCTGCTCACTGGCTGAGCAAGGTACAGGCGCAACACCGAGGGTTGCAATCCCGTTGCCGGTCCCGGTCCGGTACGGGCGCGACACTGAGGGTTGTGATCCGTTGCCGGTCACGAAAAAAAGACAAAAAGGGAAAAAAAAAAAAAAAAACATTCCTATGATGTATCATAGAGCATTTTAAACTAGAATCCAGTAAAAGCAAGAAGTATCAGGCACCAAAGCTTAATGAAAAACTCATGAGAGTAAAACTTAAATCCTGCCTATTCATTTTTCTGCAAATTAGAAAAGGGTCTAACACAGATTTTAGCAGGTCTTTTTTTGGTCTATGGCCCACCAGGGTTCTTTCTGCTCTCCCCAATTGGCCTGATGATCCGCCCTTCTGTCAGTACCCCAGAGCCACAGACAGCCGGGGACCTGGCCCAGGGGCCAGGGCACACAGAAAAAATGATTCTGGAGTTCCATTGGCTTGCTTCAGAGGTATGGGAGGAATTGGGTTGCTGCTGAAGAAACATGCTGTTAATGAGGGTTATTTTAAAGTTCATTAATAAGCAGACTTTTGGTGGGCCAGTCAGGCTGTCTGGAGAGAGGGATTCTAACATGCTCACCCTTTCCTTTGCACAGTCTCCTCTCCACCCTATCCCAGCCTCCCCTACAAGCCCCCAGTCAGGCCTGGACGGCAGCAACTCTACACTGTCTGGCAGTGCCAGCAGCGGTGTGTCCTCCTTGAGTGAGAGTAACTTTGGACACTCCTCAGAGGCCCCACCTCGCACTGACACCATGGACTCCATGCCGAGCCAGGCCTGGAATGCTGAGGAAGATCTCGAGCCACCCTACCTCCCTGTCCATTATAGCCTCTCTGAGTCTGCCGTCCTGGACTCTATCAAAGCCCAGCCATGCCGAAGCCACTCAGCTCCGGGGTGCGTAATCCCTCAGGACCCCATGGACCCGCCTGCGCTACCACCCAAGCCCTACCACCCCCGCCTGCCGGCCCTGGAGCATGACGAGGGCGTGCTGCTGCGTGAAGAGGTGGAGAGGCCTCGGGGCCTGCACCGGAAGGCCTCACTGCCTCCTGGGAGCACCAAGGAGGAGCAGGCTCGCATGGCATGGGAGCATAGCCGGGGAGAACAGTGAAGGGAAGGGAAGTGGCTGGGACACCGCCCACAGCAAGCAGCTTGCCCAACCACTCCAGGTCTGAAAAGCAAGTCCCCCCACCTCCACGCCAGGGAGCCAGAGAGGCTTGGCACTCAGGAGAGAACCATCCCAAGTCTCCGTTCTACTGCCGTGAACTCATATGTTGCCATGCAGAAGCCGCAGCAGCATGAAGGGTTGTGGCTTCTCTTTTTATTTCATTTTTTATGTTTCCATTTCTATGGATTTTCCTTTCTTTCCTTTACGCAGTAGATGCTTTCTTCCTCCTACAGTTCCAGGCCACATGGAGCTACATGGAGATATTGCACAGACAGAATTACTTTGCAGCACTGCAAGGCCCAGGAGCAGGCCCTCCCTGCAGGGTAGAGATGCACAGAAGAATGGAAATTGCACTAAGGACCTTTTCCTTTACTGTATGGACAGAAAAGTTCATGGCTGCATTCAGGGATTGCAAGGACCACACGGACTACATGTCACGGTGGACAAAGGGGCACTCACCTGCCTACTCTTCCATCTAGGAGTGTGCAACTGAGAGGCTGGCCAGGCCAACCTGCTGGCTCAGGCATGTGACTGGCCTAACTGCATGCCCAGGGCACACTGCCAGACTTCCAAGGGTCAGCTCTGTCTCCTACTCCACTTTGGATTTTTCTCTCCATCACTTTTATTTCTGACCCTTGACTCTCTTCCCCTTGATAACACCTCATGCCCCACAGGAACCCTGGTGGCTAAAGGATTCGCAAGGGTATCTCTCACCCTCTGGGGCTTGAGTGGAGGTGTAGAGCCAGAGGGGCTACCCTAGCCACCTTCCTCCCAGGGGAAACTACATCCCTTCCCATGTGTTAGATAGCTGGTGTAAGTGAGGCTGTGGTGTGGCAGGGGCCGGAAATCCTCTAAGCTTTCAGAAATGGCCAGAATGCCTGCTATCAGCTCCTGAATCAGGGATTTTCAGCACTACCTCCGAGCCATGGGGTTGGCTGCCTAGCCAGGCTTCCAGGCCCTGAGGACATGTGGTCAGGTTCAGCAAACTCCTGGGTAAAGAGTGGGAGGGAGCTTCTCCTTTTAGAAGCAGAGAGCCATGCAGGTAGAACTGTCATCTTCCAAATAGCCAAGAACTGCACGCCGCTTCAGGCCCATGGGGACCACCACTCAGGGTTCAAGGCGGGCAGGAGGGCAGTTTCTCCAGCCTCCCCAGTCTGTTGGGCAGAGCACAGTGGTGTCTTTATAGGAAACTTTCAGGTCAGGGCACTGATTTTCCTCTCAGTTTATTATTTGGGGGGATAGGGTAGAGTGCATATAGTAGTATTTTACCAGGGTGCTTCTAAGTTACTTAAAAACAAACTGCAGACAAAATACTTTTTTCTTTCATTTGCTTGTGTTCACATTACTGATGGTCACAAGGCTGCCTTCTCATTGAGCAAGCGTGTTGCCCGCCCCCAGTTCCTCTTCTGGCCTGCCTGATCTCCATGGCCAGCCCCTGGACCCTAGCTCCTTATTCCTTCTCCACATCCCCTCTTTCCAGATGGAAAGGGCCATAGTCGTGTTGTTTTTCTCTTATAAACAAATGCCAACTTGTTTATCAGAAATGCCAGCAACTAACCCATTGGGAAAGATGGATGGCCATATTACCTTCAGGGTTTCTTGGGGGTTTATTACCAGTGTGGGTCCTTTCTGATACCAACAGGATCACTCCAGCCAGAGTGGGGCAGAAGGTTGTGAGGGTGTGGGTCGGTCATGGTGCCCCCACTTTGAAGGGCAAGCCTGCTCCTGAGCCTAGATTCCACTTGCAAGCGTCAGTCTCTGGACCGTCTGGTGTTCACAGGTGTTAGAGGGTCAAGGACTAGCTTTGCATTTGACTCTTAGGTAGGAGGGCATCCTCAGCATTTAAGGCATGTCTGACCCTCAATCCCTGGACAGGGCAGTCATCATTTAAGAACATCTACCTTCTCCACTTGGTGACACCCAAGATAGGATTTGTTTGGCCTTGCTTTATTCAAGGGGAAACACTTTGTTTCCTCTTTCCGTTTTCCGTAACTGGATGAAAAGGACACATTCCAAATCCCTTTTGTTGAAGCATCAGCCCGTTTAAGGGGAAGTGGGAGGCTAGAGATGAGAATCCTTTGAAAAGATTGTAAAATACTGATTTTCATTCTTTCAAGCTTATTTGTAAATACCCATTTGAATGCTGTGTATTTGTACAGGAATTTGAGCAAAAAATGTATAGAGTGTGATGTCCAATTGGTATCCGCCCTATAAATGTGTTTTTAACCTCTGGCATTCTGTGCTTATTTAAAACAAGAAAACTTCTAACCATTTCTTTTGTGTATTCGTGTTTAAAGAAAAAGTGATTTAAAAATGATTTTACCTGTACCAGAAAAGCAAAGCTGAGAAAATTTGTACCAGTGTCCCAAGAGGTATTTTACTGTATATATTGTGGTAGCATGTTCTAAACCCAAGTAATGTGAATTTTAGATGTAAATATCTGCCACTTGATCTCCCTCTTTCCCCACTCCCTTGACTGCTGTGATGTGAATTAAAGATGAATACATGATACCGATCCACTGAATTCACTGAATGGGAGCAGCGCAACTGCCCCTCTCCAATCCTAGTCGCCGGGCTCCAAGCCCTTTTAGCCTCATGGACGTCTCTGCACTGAGCAGAGCCATCCTTGCCGCCTCCTGCCTTCGAGGACAGGTAGCCAGGTCTTGCGCTTGAAGAAGGGCTACCCAGCCGCGAGGAAGCATCCTCCAGTGCTTGTGTGCTAACCCGCGAGACCCCAGTCAGGAGGTCCCTCTACCACTCTTCCGGGGCTTGTGAGGAAATGGGAGCTCTTCAGGAATGGATGTCAAACCTCTCAAGCCTCCACCTCCCCACTCTGAGGCGATCCCAAAGCCTCGGCACATGGCTGGGGCGCTTCGCTCAGAGGTCTGGGATGGCAGCCCAGCGTGGCCGGCCTTGAGCCCTTCACTTGAGAGGTCCTGCAGCCGGAGAGTCCGTCCGCGCTGGCAAATCTCCGGTCAACCGGGGGCCCTGCAGGTGAGCGCCTCAGCAGACGCTCCCAAGGGTTGGGGGTCCCGCCCACGTGAATGTTTAAAAAAAGAAAGGAACCAGACCACCGGAGCCTTGCCTGCGGCCGCCGTCCACCCTACCTCCCTCGTAGGGTCTCGACTGACCCCAGAACTCCTCTGACCTGCGCCACGAGCCGGGGCCCTGGGAGGCGAGATCCATGGGGTTTTTAGTACAGGCTTGGGGCCCGTAGCAGGAGGTACGCGGGACAGTTCAGCAGATGCAGGGCGGCGGCAGAAGCCCACCTCGGCCCACGGCATCCCACCTCAGCCAAGACTCCTGCCCCTATCCAAGATGGCGACTGCGCTGCTTCCGTCGCAGCTGCAGCCTCTTCCGGCGGCCTCCCGGGTTCAATCAGCGGCCGACAACTGTCTAGGGCTGAGACGCCACCAGCCAATGGGGAAGGGCAGCGTGGAGCCGCCCGTCTGGGCTCCGAGGCGCGTGGGCCAATGGGGACGCGGCATGTAGGAGGGCGCGGGGGCCGCCTGCCAATGGGGAGCTACGGCGCGCGGCCGGGACCTGGAGACGGTGCAGCGCTGCGGGTGCGGTTCAGTCGGGCGGCTGCGGAGGAGTAGGATGTGGGCCACGCAAGGGCTGGCTGTTGCGCTGGCTCTGAGCGTGCTGCCTGCCAGCCGAGCGCTGCGGCCGGGCGACTGCGAAGGTGTGCGGGGGGGATGGGGAGTGGAGACCGTGCTCTGTATTCCACCTGGAGGCTGCGCTGAATCCAACAAAATCACCGGATTGCCAGGGCCAAAGAGGGCGGGGCGGCGGCCGGTCCCAGCAGGGTCTTCCGGAGGAAGGGCAGACACCTGTCCTAGAAAACATTTCCCAGGACCTAGAAAACGTTGATCCAACGAAAAAGATTGAGACTAGGTCGTACAGAAAACTTGGCCTGAAATCATTTCACGCCAGAGTTTTTGTCCCTCCCCATCGCTGTCCAGAGGCACCCAGGAGAGGCCCCGTCCCGGGTCGGAGGCCTGAGGGCCGGCCGTGAGTACTGCCTCCGGTCTGTTGGGGTCGCGAAGCTGCACCTCGCGGTGCGGCGTTGTATTTGGAAATGAGCAGCATTTTGATCGTTTTTCTCTTCGGCTTCCAGTTTGTCCATTTATGAGGTCACAGGGAGTCCCGTCTCAAGGACACGTTCACTTTCGGCTTAAACTTGATGAAAAAGGAGCAGGATGGAGTCGTTTGTGGGTCACTGGGGTACTGCTCGTTTTCCGCATGCTCTGGGTGTACCAGGGGACCCCACCAACCTGCAGCCGGGTTCTGTCCACCTGTGGGTACCTGAGAAAAACCGGTGATGGGAAAACTCACCACTAATGATTTCATCTCCGTGTCTCCTATTAAGATTGCTGAGGGAGTTCCTTTCCGGTGGGTTGGTGATTGCTGAGTATCTGCCTTCCCTCTTTTCCAGTTTGTATTTCTTATCTGGGAAGATTTTACCAGGACCTCAAAGACAGAGATGTCACATTCTCACCAGCCACTATTGAAAAAGAACTTACAAAGTTCTGCCGTGAAGCAAGAGGCAAAGAGAATCGGTTGGTGAGTAGCTGGTGACCCTCCCCAGCTGACCCTGGTTCATGTTTAACCCTCAAATTCTCAGGCCTCTTAATAAAAGGCCCTATCCATCTCTATTCATGAGGCCAATTGTTCCCTCTAAACTAATGTGTGACTGAGTGTTTTCATGTCCTTTTCCAAACAGGCATGTATTCTGCAGTTGTGATGTTTTTTTGTCGTTAGTATTTATTAAGCACCTACTGTGTACTGGGCACTGGGCATATCAGGGGAGAGAAATGAAACTCAGGCAAATAATGCGAAAACAGACCAGGATCATTTGGTGGAGAGGGCAGGTGCTGATTTAGACAGTAGTCCGGAAGCATCTCTTTAGGAAGGGTCATCATCGAAGCAGGGTAAGAGCATCCCAGGCAGAGGGAACAGCCAGTGTGAGTGCCCAGAGGCCAGAAAGCTTGGCATGTGTGAGAACAGAAGGGAATAAGGTGTCCACAGGGTAGGCACAGCTGAATCGAGGACAAAAGCTCTAGTGAAGCAATGGCTCTTTGAGCTTTAATTTCCCTCGCAGTTTCTGGTTTGTCCATGTCTCTATTAAAAGTTTGCACCCTGGGCCGGCCCGGTGGCGCACTGGATAGTGCGCCCGCTTGGGTAAGCGCGGCAGCGCTCCCGTCGGAGGGTTCGGATCCCACGTACAGACCGGCTCCCGCTCACTGGCTGAGCGAGGCGCGGGAGCAATGCCGAGGCTTGCGATCCCGTCGCCGGTCCCCGGCCCGGTACGGGGGCAACACTGAGGGTTGCGATCCGTTGCCGGACACGCAAAAAAAAAAAAAAGACAAAAAAAAAAAAAAAAAAAAAGTTTGCACCCTGGGGAGTCTGAAACTCATCTGGTGGCTGTCAGCTCTGGGACCAAGCATGTGTTCTGAGCCCAGGGTTTACATTGAATCTGACTGCCAGTACAGGCAGGGCACTGAAAAATGAGGCCCTGGCAGAGAAAGAAGATGTTTTAGGATGCCAATATGTTTTGGAGGAGACAGATCTCAAGTGGCACCTCTTGAAGGCCATTGTCCTTTCTTGCTGCAGTGCTACTACATCGGAGCCACAGATGATGCAGCCACCAAGATAATCAACGAGGTATCAAAGCCACTGGCCCACCACATCCCTGTGGAGAAGATCTGTGAGAAGCTCAAAAAGAAGGACAGCCAGATCTGTGAGCTAAAGTATGGTGAGTGTGGCCAAGTCTTATTTAACAAACGTTGTGCACCTCTTGTAGCTTCTGTACCATATGTACAGCATGATAGATGGTGCTAAATGCTAGGGGATCTGGTATCAACGTGGATAGAGGTCAGAACAGGTCTTATTGAGGAGGTGACATTTCAGCAAACTTTGAAGGAGGTGGGGAAGAAGCCAGTTAATGGACGAGCATTCCAGGCAGAGGAAATAGGCAGTGCAAAGGCAGCCAGTGGCATGACAGAGGGTATTGCGGGGTCGTGAGGACTTTGGCTTTTAGCCTGAGTGAAGTTGGGGAGCATTAGAAGTTTTTGAGCAGAGAAAGGACATGATCTGACTTGGGTTTAACAGGCTTGTTCCGGCTGCAAGCTCTGAAGGCCCAGGGATGTTTATTATTCTGAAAAGAAACGCTGTGTCCAAGTAGGCAAGCCTAAGAGTTACAGGAGCCACGACCTCTGGTTGCACAAACATAGTCCCAGCCTTCAGAAAGAGTCAGGGTGTCTTCTGTAAAATGTAAACAGCACCAACATTTTTACTATGACTTAAATGTCCAAGGGCCTATGTTTGCCCACTTGTGTCAAGGATGCCTAGTCTTTTTGTTTTGTTTTTTTGTTTTGGTGGCTGGCTGGTATGGGGATCCAAACCCTTGACCTTGGTGTTTTAACACCATGCTCTAACCAGCTGATACGCCAGCCTGGATGCCTGGTCTTCTGAGTGATCTTGCTACAGGTCCAGTTGGCTCCAGGTCACTCTGGTCACTGAGAGTAAACTCCTAACTCAAGGATCTGTGTTGGGAAATTGGGATCTGGGAGCTGTCATTCTGTGGTGACTGTGTAGAAGCAGTTGGGGAGTGGGAGCCACATTCCTCTTGTAAGGCTTTTGTCCCTATCTACACTGCATGTCTATAGTGGACACTGATAGCGTGAGGCCAGCCTTCCTGGTGATGGGGCCAGTTCACCCTGTAGGGGGCAGTGGGCACTGACATACCTCTGCATGTGTCTGGAATTGTCTCTCCTCTTACAGCCAATAGGGCTGGTTGTTTTAAGGGATGGTTTCGCTGTGCAGGAAGTGACCTATGCTGGGACTATTGGGGGCCATGGCTGCTCCCACCTAGCCTGTTACTCTCACTGCTTTCTCCTCCAGACAAGCAGATCGACCTGAGTACAGTGGACCTGAAGAAGCTCCGAGTCAAAGAGCTGAAGAAGATCCTGGACGACTGGGGGGAGACATGCAAAGGCTGTGCAGAAAAGTCTGACTACATCCGGAAGATAAATGAACTGATGCCTAAATATGCCCCCAAGGCAGCCAGTGCTCGGACTGATTTGTAGTCTGCCCAATCCCTGCTGCACCTGAGGGGAAAAGACAGTTCAGCTGTCTCTTCCTAAAACAGCCTTTTTGTAATTTATTTTTTAAGCAGGCTCCTGACAATATCAGAGTGAAGCCTGGAGCTTTCCTGATGATGCTGGCTCTACGGTGTCTCCATGGGGGAATTCACTCCTTTCTGTTGCTGGTTTACTCTAGGACTTCAAAGTGTGTCTGGGATTTTTTTTATTAAAGGAAAAACAATTTCTATCTGTCCTTGGAGAATTAAGGTGAATACTGAAATAGGGTTTTACCCCATAAAGAGGATCCTACTAGTTTATGCTTTGCGATTTGCAAAGAGTTTTGGGGTATATTCTCATTTGTCCTTCAATCAACCAGTGCTGAAAATTCCAGGGCAGGACACAGGGGCTGAGGTCAGCTGGTGTGTGTGGATTGTACCAGCCTGGAGGGTATCAGGCACCTCAGCAAGATGGAGCCTGGGGAGGAGGTTGGGCCTGATACTACACCTCTTGATAGTGTCTGTCTTTCCCACATAAGAGGGGCTAGAGGCTGCACAGCTGTGCACAGAGGATTTAGCCTGAGGTACAAGGGAGAGCCTTACATTGAGGCTTAGTACAGACAGGACTATGGTATGTAGAGAGTGGTTAACTGCGCTTGTTCAGTACTGACATTCCTTAAGATGCTCTTGGCCTGACCACCTACTTGCTCATCTGGGTTCATGGTCTAGTGTTAATCCCAAGCCTCTGTTGCCTAATTAGGCTTTTGCAAGACTGACAGGAGTCAGCTTACACAAAGGCAGTGGTAGGATGCCTTTTGCCTTTGTTTATTACCCTAGATAAGTCTAACAGAGACCCTGAGGGCTTGTGTGGAGTTGTTTTTTTGCTGCTCTCTGTCGGTGCTTAGGAAACCCAGTTGTCAGTGTGTGCTATGGCTCAATGGAGATGCCCACTCCAACGGCTAGCAGAGACCACCTGAAAGGAAGGACCAAGAAAGTGCTTTCCAAGGAACATGTTACTTCAGATCACTTCGTGTGGTTCCTAAGTTCAGTTTGTAAATTACAGCCTGCCATGGAGCCCACTGCTGTTACAAGACCTTTCCCCCTGCACCTGGCTGAGCTGCTCCAGGAGTTGCTTTCTGGTTGTGGGAGGAGGGAAGGGCTAGGCATGCTCTTCCCTATCCCGCGGTTTTTGTGCCTGAAGTTGGGTCAAGTTCTGAGGTGGCTCCAGCAACTGTCCTTGATGAATGAAAGCTTCCTCGATGGGCTTGGGCCCCCTTGCCCTCACCACACCTGGGAAGAAAAGGTCCTCCCCCTGGAGGTGGACAGGAGGGCACAGGCCAGCTAGAAATCAGCGTGGCAAGCTGCACTAACTGCCGACACTATCTGTGCGTTTGGCCTCCTCGCCCTTGGCTCTGTGGCCCTGCCCTTCCAGCCTGCTGTCTGCACGGATGCCCACACTATAGAGGATGGGACCCAGTGGCTCCAAGGAGCTTACTTGGACTCCATCAACTGCAGATTTGTTGTCTCCGGTTTCTGTGCCTGGAACCAGCTAGGTCTCACCTTTTGCATGGATAATCACGGTCCTCGGCCTTTCCGGAGACCGCTGCAGGTGAACCTGAAGTGGAGCATACCCGGGATGTGGGCTGTGGATGCTGGACAGGGCCTAAGGATCAGCGTGCGTCAGTCCTTGGGGCTGTCAACTCCGAACCCATCCAGTCAGGAGAAGCCGTGAGGGGATGGGGGTCGCTCAACCGAGTGCCGGGATTGGGGGGATACCACATAAAAAGGCTCTGAACACCGGCGCCCACGGAAGCTGCCACTCCTGCTCCAACCTGAGCGGACGCCGGCAGGAGGAGATAGCATACCCGGAGCGGCAAAGCTCGCCATGCACCACAGGTCCTAGGTCCAGCCAGGCCCGCTGGGGTCTGGGGAGGCGAGAGCCGACCCGGCTCTCGCGAAGGATCCCATCGCTCCGCGTAGCCACGAACCTTGGCCGCGCGATGGCGCGGGAGGGTTCACCCGGCTCCTCCACGGCCACAGGGTCACGTGGCACGGGGCGGTGCAGCCCGATAACGCATGCTCAACTCAGTTCTCGCCCCGCCCACCGCAGTGTCACGAGGGACGCGCGGCGCAGCTTGATAACGCAACGCCCAGCCCCCTCGCCGGCGCTCCCGCCCCGCCCCGCCCCGCCGCCTCTGCCGCGCTGAGTCCTTTTGTCCAAGATGGCGGCGCCGGGGGCGCTGCCTCTTCGGCCGCCGCCGCCGCCGCC